AGAAAGTAATAGAAAGTAATAGAAAGTAATAGAAAGTAATAGAAAGTAATAGAAAGTAATAGAAAGTAATAGAAAGTAATAGAAAGTAATAGAAAGTAATAGAAAGTAATAGAAAGTAATAGAAAGTAATAGAAAGTAATAGAAAGTAATAGAAAGTAATAGAAAGTAATAGAAAGTAATAGAAAGTAATAGAAAGTAATAGAAAGTAATAGAAAGTAATAGAAAGTAATAGAAAGTAATAGAAAGTAATAGAAAGTAATAGAAAGTAATAGAAAGTAATAGAAAGTAATAGAAAGTAATAGAAAGTAATAGAAAGTAATAGAAAGTAATAGAAAGTAATAGAAAGTAATAGAAAGTAATAGAAAGTAATAGAAAGTAATAGAAAGTAATAGAAAGTAATAGAAAGTAATAGAAAGTAATAGAAAGTAATAGAAAGTAATAGAAAGTAATAGAAAGTAATAGAAAGTAATAGAAAGTAATAGAAAGTAATAGAAAGTAATAGAAAGTAATAGAAAGTAATAGAAAGTAATAGAAAGTAATAGAAAGTAATAGAAAGTAATAGAAAGTAATAGAAAGTAATAGAAAGTAATAGAAAGTAATAGAAAGTAATAGAAAGTAATAGAAAGTAATAGAAAGTAATAGAAAGTAATAGAAAGTAATAGAAAGTAATAGAAAGTAATAGAAAGTAATAGAAAGTAATAGAAAGTAATAGAAAGTAATAGAAAGTAATAGAAAGTAATAGAAAGTAATAGAAAGTAATAGAAAGTAATAGAAAGTAATAGAAAGTAATAGAAAGTAATAGAAAGTAATAGAAAGTAATAGAAAGTAATAGAAAGTAATAGAAAGTAATAGAAAGTAATAGAAAGTAATAGAAAGTAATAGAAAGTAATAGAAAGTAATAGAAAGTAATAGAAAGTAATAGAAAGTAATAGAAAGTAATAGAAAGTAAATAGAAAGTAATAGAAAGTAATAGAAAGTAATAGAAAGTAATAGAAAGTAATAGAAAGTAATAGAAAGTAATAGAAAGTAATAGAAAGTTATAGAAACTTCTAGAAACTTCTAGAAACTCATAGAAACTCATAGAAACTTATAGAAACTTATAGAAACTTCTAGAAACTTCTAAAAACTTCTAGAAACTTCTAGAAACTTATAGAAACTTATAGAAACTTATAGAAACTTATAGAAACTTATAGAAACTTATAGAAACTTATAGAAACTTATAGAAACTTATAGAAACTTATAGAAACTTATAGAAACTTATAGAAACTTATAGAAACTTATAGAAACTTATAGAAACTTATAGAAACTTATAGAAACTTATAGAAACTTATAGAAACTTATAGAAACTTATAGAAACTTATAGAAACTTATAGAAACTTATAGAAACTTATAGAAACTTATAGAAACTTATAGAAACTTATAGAAACTTATAGAAACTTATAGAAACTTATAGAAACTTATAGAAACTTATAGAAACTTATAGAAACTTATAGAAACTTATAGAAACTTATAGAAACTTATAGAAACTTATAGAAACTTATAGAAACTTATAGAAACTTATAGAAACTTATAGAAACTTATAGAAACTTATAGAAACTTATAGAAACTTATAGAAACTTATAGAAACTTATAGAAACTTATAGAAACTTATAGAAACTTATAGAAACTTATAGAAACTTATAGAAACTTATAGAAACTTATAGAAACTTATAGAAACTTATAGAAACTTATAGAAACTTATAGAAACTTATAGAAACTTATAGAAACTTATAGAAACTTATAGAAACTTATAGAAACTTATAGAAACTTATAGAAACTTATAGAAACTTATAGAAACTTATAGAAACTTATAGAAACTTATAGAAACTTATAGAAACTTATAGAAACTTATAGAAACTTATAGAAACTTATAGAAACTTATAGAAACTTATAGAAACTTATAGAAACTTATAGAAACTTATAGAAACTTATAGAAACTTATAGAAACTTATAGAAACTTATAGAAACTTATAGAAACTTATAGAAATTTATAGAAACTTATAGAAACTTATAGAAACAAACTTATAGAAATTTATAGAAACTTATAGAAACAAACTTATAGAAACTTATAGAAACTTATAGAAACTTATAGAAACTTATAGAAACTTATAGAAACTTATAGAAACTTATAGAAACTTATAGAAACTTATAGAAACTTATAGAAACTTATAGAAACTTATAGAAACTTATAGAAACTTATAGAAACTTATAGAAACTTATAGAAACTTATAGAAACTTATAGAAACTTATAGAAACTTATAGAAACTTATAGAAACTTATAGAAACTTATAGAAACTTATAGAAACTTATAGAAACTTATAGAAACTTATAGAAACTTATAGAAACTTATAGAAACTTATAGAAACTTATAGAAACTTATAGAAACTTATAGAAACTTATAGAAACTTATAGAAACTTATAGAAACTTATAGAAACTTATAGAAACTTATAGAAACTTATAGAAACTTATAGAAACTTATAGAAACTTATAGAAACTTATAGAAACTTATAGAAACTTATAGAAACTTATAGAAACTTATAGAAACTTATAGAAACTTATAGAAACTTATAGAAACTTATAGAAACTTATAGAAACTTATAGAAACTTATAGAAACTTATAGAAACTTATAGAAACTTATAGAAACTTATAGAAACTTATAGAAACTTATAGAAACTTATAGAAACTTATAGAAACTTATAGAAACTTATAGAAACTTATAGAAACTTATAGAAACTTATAGAAACTTATAGAAACTTATAGAAACTTATAGAAACTTATAGAAACTTATAGAAACTTATAGAAACTTATAGAAACTTATAGAAACTTATAGAAACTTATAGAAACTTATAGAAACTTATAGAAACTTATAGAAACTTATAGAAACTTATAGAAACTTATAGAAACTTATAGAAACTTATAGAAACTTATAGAAACTTATAGAAACTTATAGAAACTTATAGAAACTTATAGAAACTTATAGAAACTTATAGAAACTTATAGAAACTTATAGAAACTTATAGAAACTTATAGAAACTTATAGAAACTTATAGAAACTTATAGAAACTTATAGAAACTTATAGAAACTTATAGAAACTTATAGAAACTTATAGAAACTTATAGAAACTTATAGAAACTTATAGAAACTTATAGAAACTTATAGAAACTTATAGAAACTTATAGAAACTTATAGAAACTTATAGAAACTTATAGAAACTTATAGAAACTTATAGAAACTTATAGAAACTTATAGAAACTTATAGAAACTTATAGAAACTTATAGAAACTTATAGAAACTTATAGAAACTTATAGAAACTTATAGAAACTTATAGAAACTTATAGAAACTTATAGAAACTTATAGAAACTTATAGAAACTTATAGAAACTTATAGAAACTTATAGAAACTTATAGAAACTTATAGAAACTTATAGAAACTTATAGAAACTTATAGAAACTTATAGAAACTTATAGAAACTTATAGAAACTTATAGAAACTTATAGAAACTTATAGAAACTTATAGAAACTTATAGAAACTTATAGAAACTTATAGAAACTTATAGAAACTTATAGAAACTTATAGAAACTTATAGAAACTTATAGAAACTTATAGAAACTTATAGAAACTTATAGAAACTTATAGAAACTTATAGAAACTTATAGAAACTTATAGAAACTTATAGAAACTTATAGAAACTTATAGAAACTTATAGAAACTTATAGAAACTTATAGAAACTTATAGAAACTTATAGAAACTTATAGAAACTTATAGAAACTTATAGAAACTTATAGAAACTTATAGAAACTTATAGAAACTTATAGAAACTTATAGAAACTTATAGAAACTTATAGAAACTTATTGAAACTTATTGAAACTTATTGAAACTTATTGAAACTTATTGAAACTTATTGAAACTTATTGAAACTTATTGAAACTTATTGAAACTTATTGAAACTTATTGAAACTTATTGAAACTTATTGAAACTTATTGAAACTTATTGAAACTTATTGAAACTTATAGAAATTTATAGAAACTTATAGAAACTTATAGAAACTTATAGAAACTTATAGAAACTTATAGAAACTTATAGAAACTTATAGAAACTTATAGAAACTTATAGAAACTTATAGAAACTTATAGAAACTTATAGAAACTTATAGAAACTTATAGAAACTTATAGAAACTTATAGAAACTTATAGAAACTTATAGAAACTTATAGAAACTTATAGAAACTTACTTATAGAAACTTATAAAAACTTATAAAAACTTATAAAAACTTATTAAAACTTATAAAAACTTAATTTATAAAAACTTATAATATTAAAAATAATAATTTCATAAAGAGTCAAAGCTTTTAAAAAATAATAGATAAGTAAATTGGACTAGCTATATCGAACTAATTAATTTTACTACTATAAAGACTCGACGAGAAAAAAAAGGCTTAAGACTTAATCTTTGTTCTTAGAGAAAAAATCCAAAACCACCAGGAACTCTCTAAAATCCTTAGAAATTTTTAGAAAAAAATCAGTCGTGATAAATCACAAATAATCAAAAATTCTTACGGTAGTATTGACATTAGTTTGCTTTCCTATAAGATATTGATTCAATTATTTTAAAAGCAAAAACACTTAAATTTGCACCAATTTAAAATATATATCTACTTAATCAATCTATCTCTGCTTATAAGATTGTTTAAAGTCAAAAAGCGAAAAGATGTAATATATTTCAAAGTTGGTAATAGCGAAATGTATAGTGATCCACAAGTGCCACTAAAATATGTATCTTATAAAAATTTACTTATTTAGAATAATTTTTTTTATTTTAATCAAATTTTAGTAAATAGCCTCAAAAAACGCAACTTAATGAGACAGAAAGATGATATAAAAGACAAGTAAACTGACTTTTGTAATTTTTTGAATTTATGAGCTAGTAATAGAATAAAAAATGATTAAACTCACTGTGGTTGGCTCGAATAATTTTTTCAGTCTTCATCCCTTTGCACAATGTCATTGTAATCAACGAATAAGTCACCGCCATTACTAGCAACGGTATGATCAATAAAATCACGTCCAAAAATAAGTTGTACGCCTTTTCGCAGTCCATCGAATACCAATCTTCTCTACACTTTTGGTTTCCTGAAAAAAAGAAAAAAATACAATTGTTATTATTATTATTATTATTATTATTATTATTATTATTATTATTATTATTATATATAAACTGTGAATAAACTGTGAATAAACTGTGAATAAACAGTGAATAAACTGTGAATAAACTGTGAATAAACTGTGAATAAGCTGTGAATAAACTGTGAATAAACTGTGAATAAACTGTAAGTAAACTGTAAGTAAACTGTTAAACTGTAAATAAACTGTTAAAATGTAAATAAATTGCGAATAAACTGGGAATAAATTGGGAATAAACTGGGAATAAACTGTGAATAAAATATGAATAGACTCTAAATATAATTTTAATAAACAGTTACAAAACAGTGACAAACTCTAACTTAACAGTATTTAAACTGTAAATAAACTGTGAATAAACTGTGTACAAACTGTGAATAGATTGAGAATAAACTGTGAATAAACTGTGAATAAACTGTAAATAAACAGTGAATAAACTGTGAATAAACTGTGAATAAACTGTGAATAAACTGTGAATAAACTGTGAATAAACTGTGAATAAACTGTGAATAAACTGTGAATAAACTGTGAGTAAACTGTGAATAAAAAACTATGAATAAACTGTGAATAAACTGTGAATAAACTGGGAATAAATAAACTGTGAATTTGTTTGTATTTAATTTAATCGTTTTTTTTTACAAAAAATTACTTTTCTGTCAGAAAAAATAGTACAACTAATCCAAAAATAATTAAAATATATTTCTAACCTTGTCTTGTCGGCTGTAGTTGACTAAGAAGAGCTATGGGCGCCATACAAACAACACTGCCGATCCAAATGGCTAAAATGAGCTTGTAGGCGTGACTAAGAGTCTGCCATCGTAGTGATCGAAGCGGATGACAGATGGCGTAGTATCTTTCGACAGATATAGCTACTAACGTCCATACTCCCACTGACACGGAACAAGCTGAAACAAAAATAATTTTTTTAAATATGGTTAATATATTCAAAGAATAAAATTAAAGATTAACAATTAAAATTGTGATGCAACTAGTTTCGATCTTTCAGGTCATCATCAGGGAAAAGTTAATTGATTGAAAGTGAGAAGAAAAAGGGTGGATTATTAAAATATATATAAGAGTATAAAAATATTTGAAGAGAACTTCTAAATATCTCGTTCAATGTCTAACCCAGTGGTCGCCAACCTGTCGATCGCGAGCTACCGGTAGCTCGCGGAGGAATTCTGGTAGCATTCACAACGATTTTAATTTAAAAAATACAAACTTCAAAAATCAGAGAAGCTTCCGAAAATTCCACAAAAAAATCTAATTGTCATAATATTAAACATAAACAGCGGCAACGTTGCGGTGAGCAATCTGCCGCTGACGCCATCAAGCTAGTATCGGCTAGAACCGACCAGCCGGACCAGCGCGTTAGTGTTCGAGAACGATCAGGATTGCTTTGAAAGGGATAAATACGCACGGCGCGGCGACATTGCGCTTAGTTTAAAATTGAACGCGTCACCAACGTCCAGCGGTTGGGTTAGTAGAAAACAACAAAAAACATTATGGCAAGCAGTTGTAAGAAGGTAAAGACATGCCACTTTCATTCGGAATGGGAAGGACAATACTTTTTTACAGAAGTTAAAGATAAAAATGTGTGTTTGTTATGTAATACTTCGGTCTCCGTTCCTAAAAAAGGAAATATTGAGAGACATCATAAAACTATACATTCTAATTTTGAAAAATCATTCCCACTATATTCTGCCGCCAGAAAGGAGAAACTGAAACAGTTAAAAAAGCAGTTAATTGGACAACAATCAATATTTTTAAGAACAGTCGACAAAAATAAGGCTGCAACTAAAGCATCGTACCGTGTGTCCCAGATAATTGCACAAAAAAAGAAACCTTATGACGGCGGGGAAATGATAAAACAGGCGTTTTTAGAAGCTGCTGATTCGTTATTTGCCAACTTTAGAAATAAAGACGAGATAGTTTCAGCTATAAAATCTATGCAACTGTCTGCTAATACAGTGATGAGACGTGTAGAAGTATTAAGCAATGATATTTTTTTACAGTTAAGAACTGACTTAGATAATTGTGTTTATTTTTCACTTTAACTAGATGAATCAACAGATGTCGTTGACACTGCCCAGATGGCCGTGTTCGTCAGGATGGTTTTTAGTGATTTTACGATTAACGAAGATCTTTTGAAGTTTATTCCACTGAAAGGACACACTACTGGACAGGAGTTGTTTTCTCATTTAAAAAATATTATTTCTTCCGAGAAAATTCCAATATCGAAAATGGTAGGCTTGACAACCAATGGCGCTCCAGCTATGGTGGGTTGTGATAAGGGTCTGGTGGCGTTATGTCGTAAAGATGAAACTTTTCCGCAATTTCTCTATTACCACTGCATTATCCATCAGCAAGCATTATGTGGAAATTTCCTGAAACTAATCAACGTTATGAAACTGGTGGTAAAAATTGTGAACAAGATTAGAGCTCAAGCGTTACAAAGAAGATTATTCAAAACCTTGGCCGATGAAGTTGACTGTCAATACGGGGATCTACTCCTTCACTCTGAAGTCCGATGGTTAAGTAGAGGACGGGTGCTGAAACGTTTTAATGATGTCATATGTGACATAGTTCAATTTTTCAAACAACGCGATGAACCGACTCCGGAACTAGAAAATTCAATCTGGCTTAGAGATTTTGGTTTTTTCGTCGACATTACAGAGAAATTAAACGAACTTAATTTGCAGCTTCAGGGGAGAGACAAAGAACTAGGGGAAATGATTTCTGATATAAAAGCATTTATCAAAAAGCTGAAGTTTTGGGAACAAAACCTAATTAACAGCGATGCCAAGCATTTTCCTATTCTTTCAGAAAAAATATCTCAAAATCCATTAGAACCCTATGACAGCAAATATCATGTAGAAATAGTTTCTACCCTGAAGAATAACCTCAAAAATCGTTTTAAGGATTTCAACGAAATGGCTTTAGTAGCGCAGTTTATGGAAATTGATATCCAACAGTTTGCAACTTGTGTTATGCAGAACTTTGGCGAAGACATCGCTGCAACAGAAATGGAAGTAATTGAGTTTCAAAATGATTTAGCCTTAAAATCGTTAGTCTCAAGTACCAAATGTATCTGGCCTATTGTAAGTAAAGACAAATATTCAGTTCTATGCCGTGTTGCCTTGAAAGTGAAAGCATTATTCGGTTCAACATATTTGTGTGAATCTTCTTTTTCCAATATGAAGTTTATTAAGAACAAATACCGATGAACATTTGGATAATTGTATTCGAATGGCTGTATCAAATTATACTGCAAACATTAAAAACATTATCGATGAGTCTCAGTATCAGCCTTCTCATTGAACGTGCTTTTTTATTTTTCAATGTTTATGTTCATGATAGTGCGTTACTTTTTTGTTGTTATTATTAACTATTTTTAAATCTTACGTGACATGCCATTGTGGCTGGATAAAAGTTTGTGTTTATTTTTCAAACACCTTCATTTGGTAGGTAGGAATGTAGCTATGAACAAGTACGTACTAGTAATATTAGTTATTTTGTTATTAGTTTATTATTAGTACCTATGTATTATGTATTACCAGTTAAATAGTAAAATAAATACATATAATGATAAATTAACTGTGGATTATTTCATTTACGTTGCGTTACGTGGCTTCCGTGTGGGTAGCTCGCTGTTTATTTCAAAATTAACAAAGTAGCTCAACACATTGAGAGGTTGGCGACCACTGGTCTAACTCACATATCTGGATGTCAAAAATATTACTTTTATATTATTATGTTAATGAATTAGTTGTTTGACATTAATCAGACAAATGTATATAATTTTGAATACTTTATATCAACGATCAACACCATACAGGTCTAATTTTTAAATAAATACAATAATACAATAGATAATACAAAAGTATTATTTTTACATTAGCCATACTTGAACTCACCCACAAATACAAGTCAATATGGGAATTATTTGAAAAAAAAACTGCACTGAAAATATCCTACCAACACTGTTCTACTTAAAACTTTATAATACATGGAATTCTTTTTCAGGTATGAACAAACTTTGAAGCAAAATGTTTATTAATTTTATGACATATAGATAATGCCTAATTAGATTGTCATAAAAGCCACTAAATTTCTTATTTTATCATAACACGGGTATTACTGAAGACTGTAACGTCTAATAGTCAATACATATAATTTTTTTGCAAGGATCAAACGTTCCTTTTTAGTCAATTAAATCTTTATCATCCCATTTAGGGTTATGGGTGGTTAGGTATGGCCGATTCAACTGTGTCTAACGACAGATCTAATTTATATAGGAGAAAATAATAACTGTTATCCAATAGGTAATATTTTATCTAACAGAAGGGACTTTATTTATGGTTATTATATTTCCAAAAAGGGTATAGGTACAACAGGGCTGTGAATGATGGTTTTGCGCATTGTTTCGGTAATAAAATCCGGTACATTAAGGGAGATTCAATTTTAAATATTAATAAATATTTATTTGGCTTTCGATGTGATTTGAATGATACAAATTTGCTAAAGTATTTTATAAATAATGATAATATTCTCTATGGATTTCAATCAAGGGACTAAAGCAGGGATTACGAATACCGATATTGACCATAGTGATTCAGAATCTACTATAGTCTATTTTTATGTATGAGAGAGTAATAAAACAGCATTTCTAATGCAAAACTTAGTACGGTCGTTTTAAATATTTTTACAGAATAATCTAAATATTTCCTAAAATTGTAATAAATGTACCTGAGCTATTACAAGTTTTGGGTCTTTTATTGGTCCTTTATAAACATAAGCTGTACAAAACAATAGAAAAAGGTTTGGACAGGCCAAAAGCCCTGTGTATTAAAGATTACATAGCCGTATCTTAAGATTATTTTCAATAAGTATCTATTTGCCAATTTTGTTTTATTTTAATTCCAAGAATTTCTTACAGTAATCAAATTATAAGTAGATAAATACCTTCCCAACAAATTTCACCGAAAATGCGATTATAGGTTTTCCATTTAGTAAGGAGATCCAAGTTGTGTATTCTTGACAGTTTACTAAATGTCGTTTAGTTGCAACTTGCAAGGTGCAGTGTGAATTCTAGTGTTATCATGGAAAATTTGGAAGGGTCGCGTAAACGACAAAAAATCTGACCTTTAATAGTTAATGAAAAAACATTAATATTTAATTGTTTTAAATCATTTACAGACAAACATTTATGTAAAAGTGTTGATGACACAGTGGAATTAGTAGTAAGGCTTGGTGTTGGGAAATCTACGATTTACAGAGTTGTTAAAGAAGAGAAATGTGGCGAGTATCAAACAGCACGCAAAGCTCCAGGAAAACCAAAATTTCAATTAGAACATCTTTTGAAAGAAAGACTTCGAAGAAAAGTGCATGCGTTCTTCTTTAGAAAAGAATTTCCGACAGTAGACAAAGTTCTTGCCACGGTTCGAGATGATAAGGATTACCCTGAAATGAGTCGAAGCATACTATGAAAACTTTTAAAAGAAATAGGTTTTCTATGGAAAAAGCATTCAGAAAGTCTATTTTAATAGAAAGAAGCGATATTGTAGTGTGGAGAAGAAATTACCTAAGGACTATAAAAGAAATGAGAAACCAAAGAAGAAATATATTTTATTTATATGAAACATGGATCAACAAGGGACATAAACTAAATAAATTTTGGCAAGATGAAACTGTTACAAGTCGAAGACAGGCTTTTTTAAATAATTTATCTACTGGTTTAAATCCACCATCAGGAAAGGGGCGCAGACTAATAATAGTACACATCGGTAGTTCAAACGGTTTTGTTAAAGGTGGTTTATTGACTTTTGAATCTACTCGTACCGGTGACTATTATGAGGACATGAATGCTGATGTCTTTAAAGAGTGGTTCGAACAAATTATAGATCT